ACTTGCTCCCCTTAGCATACAATTGGTGTTGTTTTAAAAGTTCCAAGACAACAGCAACATTTTTACAATGATTCATCAAGTTTGGGCTATATACCAGTTTATCGTCAAAAAATACTAAGATGAATTGCCTAAGATGCTGCTTGAATACTTCGTTCATTAGGCATTGCAAAATGGCAGGGGCATTTGTAAGCCCAAATGGCATGACCCTGAATTCATAAAGACCCTCATGAGTTCTAAAAGCTGTCTTGTGGACATCTTCTTTAGCGACCCTGATTTGATGATATCCTGCTCTTAGGTCGATTTTTGTAAACCGCTTTGCCCCTTTAAGTTCATCGAGCAATTCATCAATTAAGGGCATATGGTACTTGTCCTTGACTGTGAAGGTGTTCAACTGTCTATAATCAACATAAAATCTCCATGTCCCATCTTTCTTCTTGACCAATAACACGTGAGGCATAAGGGCTGTAGCTTGGTTGTACTATCCCACTTTCTCTCATCACCTTAACCATCCTTTCAATTTCTGCTTTCTGAATGTATGGACACCTGTAAGGCCTGATTTTAAAGTGCTGAGCCCCTTCTTTCAATGAAATATGATGGTCATTGAACCTAGAAGGCGGTAATCCTTTGGGTTCTAAGAAAACCATGGGAAATTGATATACAACAGCCTTAAGTTAAGCAGGGATGGCCTCTGTCTCTTTCTTAGTGATGGCTGTGATTTGTGCCACCACACCATATGCTTGGTTCTTGAACCAACAGTCCTCTCCAGTATTGATCATCATGTGGAATTCCTCTTTAACGACTTCGCTCTGGAGTTCCATCTCTATACCTTTATAAGTAATGCTGCCTCTCAGAAAATCAAATAACACGGTTGAACTGACTCAACCAATCCACCCCCAAAACCATATCACTGCCTCCTAATTTCAATACCCTTAGCTGGTATTGAAACTCCAGGTCTTGCATCTTCCATCTCAGTGGATTACAAATTGCCGTACAGTACGTTTTTTCAAACTATGGCCGTACTGATGAGTTTTTCACCTCCTGCCACAGTAACTGAAGTAGGTGTTGTTGGCTGCATCCAGCAGTTGATATTTTTTGCCGAGGTTTCATTAATGAAACTGTGGGTACTCCCACTATCAATTAATATAGAAGCTTCTCTCTTTTTGATCATCCCTGGAAGCTTGATGGTTTTTGCTCTGTTGCAACCCATCAATGCATAGATGGAGAGTTCCATCATCTCCTCTAGTTCCCCTTTTTCCTTCTGATCCTCTTTCTCCCCTGGAGGTTCATCTAACTCTCCTTCTATCTCTTCATCCACCAATATGAAATTGAGCATCTTATTTTTGCACACATGATCCCTAGTATACTTCTCATCACATTTATAACATATTCCTAACTCTTTTTTTGTTTGGAAGTCAGCGGGGGTGATAGCTTTGAATTTCAGTGGGTTGGTGGAGTTCTTTGGGTTTGGTTCAGTGTAGGGTGTAGGTTTAGTTGTAGTTTCATTTGGTCTAGGATTGGGGTGAGACCATTTTGTTTGGGGATATGCTTTGAAGTTTTTGGACCTCTGTTATGGGCTATGATGGTATTCTCTTGAAGTAAAGCAATCTCGAAGGCTTTAGCTAAGGTTGGGGGTTGCATAATTTTAACCATGAATTTGATCTCATCCCTCAAACTACTGGTGAATATTGAAATATAGTAGGATTCTGGTAAGTGAGGTAGGGAAATCATCACCGGGGATTTCAATTCTTCAAACTGTTTCTCCTGATATTCTGTAATGGTTCCTCTTTGCCTCAGTTTGCTAAAGGTTTCTATCATTTCTTCACCCATCTTTTCTACAGACCTCCTTGGAAAACATGCCCCAATCAGCATTAGGATGGCTGGAGATAAAGCCATGGAACCATATGTCTGCCTTTCCTTTGAGATACATCTCAGCTATGCCCAACTTCATTTCATCCTCTACATGATGGATTTGGAAATACTTGCTTGCTTCCTCAGCCACTCTCTAGGCCCTTCTTCATTAAAATAAGGGAAGTCTATCTTGGGTAGTTTGGTAACCATCCTGGCCTCCCTATTTCCTGTGGAGATACTAGAATGAGTTTCATTTCTTCTAAGGATACCCCCACTGGTTTGAGATGGTGACCCATATCCTTTTACTTTATTTTCTTTACCATCAGCCTTACTCCCAGTCAACTGAGCTAACATCAACACCATAGACTCCTGTGTAGCCTTCATTTTTCCCATCATTTGTTCCATCCGGTCTTGTCTAGTACAAACACCCTGTAGCATCTGGTCATTTGTTTTAAAGACAACTCCCAAATATGATATTTCCTTGTCCAATCTCTTAAGGTGCTCCTCATTTGATTTGCTTCTAGTTTCTGCCATAGCGAGTTCGCATAGCTGCTTTGATACCAAATGTTATGGTTGAGCTTCAACTCTCAACCTGGAACACAATCAAATACAGTAATAAACCAGAAATTGAATAAGACTCAACACCCAATGGATTAATATGTAACAAAGTGTAGATTACAGTGATAATTTAAGAGAAATTAAGAAAGTAGACTTGAAGAAGAAGAAGAGAAGAAGGTAAGAACAGAGAGAAAATGGAAATCACGCACAAAAACATTCACACTGTTCTGCCTCTTCTCGTCAGGTAATATAACAGCCAAAAGCGTGTTTTTCCTAATGCAACTTCATAAAACGTAAAATAGGAGTTGACAAAAACAAACGATGCTCCCGCCCTTTTTGAGTTGTATGGTTGCTTTCTTTCCTCTACTGCCTGTGTTGCTCTCTGTTTCTAGGATTCCTCTTCTTCTTTTTCCCCCAATTCAGCTGAGTTCCCTTCTCTTCGTAACAGTTTTTTTTGACTAATTATATATGTAGCTCATATGTCTATTCTATTTAGTAAAAATACCTAAGTTCTGTGGATTCCCTGCTTGGGTTCCCCACATATTTCAGAGTTTCTGATGTGCCATGTTCATTATATTGTTTACCTGGTTGAAGAATTTTGCCTTCGTTAGGTCTGTTAATTAAGTACTAATTTGAATTCTCTTCTTTGTAAACAGAATATCACCTGGGTCAGCTCAAGGCAAAGATAGCAAAGTTGAGGACACAATTATTGGAACCCCCAAAAGTATGCAACTTTTAGATTCTTTTCGTGCTTGATCTGATAACTCATATTGGTCTTTGTATTTTTAATATTCTGCGAACCTTTTTAATGCATGTGATTTTTACTTGTTGGGACTTTTGAAGTTTGAACCCTTCAAGTTTTCCCCAGTGTAAGGACTATTTCCATTTCTGCACAAGTGATGTTGTATCTTGATAATTCCTCAATGCTGCATTAGGGTTCTAGTGGAGCTGGAGAGGGGTTTGAAGTTACAAAATTTGGCCATGGACGAGTTGCACTAATAGGATTTCCCAGGTTTGCCATTTTATTACTTTAGACTATGCAGGTTCTAGGAAAATAAAATCACAATCAAGAATATAGATAGGATGGTTAAGGGAGATTTTGTTGAGCTAATGAGAATGGATTTTGATTTTTCTACATGATGTTGGGTTAGGTGGGCCTTAGCAAGTGAATTGATGTGATATGAACTTGCACTTGTTTCTAGCTCACGTGTGAGGGCACTCACAACAATGATGGTGACGTAATCTACTCCTTCCATTGCATTTGTTTTTTAACGGAAAAACTAATAAAGCTATTTTTCGCAAACTTTTTTTTTTATTATAAACGTGGATGTTCGGGGCAGCTTGCGCGCACCTCGACTAATTCCACGGGGCCTGAAATTTACGGTCGGGTACTCACCTCAGTGGCCCTGAGGGGACTCGAACGGTGACCATTGGGGAGCAAACCCAATGCCTAACCAATTGAGCAACCCCTCAAGGTTCTGTTTTTCGCAAACTAGAGATAATGCTTCCATGTTGCAAGTGTAAAATGCAGCATGCTGATCTTTAAGATGCATCCGAACTTCCAAAATGAATGATGGTTATTCACCTGCATGTTCTTCATGGTCGGTGGCATAAAGATTTTATTCAAAGACAAAATTGTGGTCGTTTTTTGACCTTTTACAGTGTTGGAAAATCGACGCTTTTGACAATGTTAACTGGAACGCACTCAGAAGCTGCATCGTACGAGTTCACCACACTTACCTGTATCCCTGGTATTATTCATTATAATGATACTAAAATCCAGTTGCTTGATCTTCCTGGAATCATAGAAGGCGCATCTGAGGGCAAGGGGCGTGGTAGGCAGGTAAAGAATTTGAACTGTAATAACTTTAACCTTCCACTCGTCTGGTGAGTTTTAGCAATGTGAAGATGACATTAACCATGATTAGGAACTTTTCAATTTTAATCTCAGGTCATTGCCGTTTCCAAATCATCAGATATAGTGTTGATGGTTCTCGATGCTTCAAAAGTAAGTGTTACTTTAGCTGTAATTGTAGTCTTGCAGTCTGGAGTCTGTTTAGTAAATAATGGTCTCTGTTTGTCCACGTTACAGTTGCTTTGTGCTTCTTCAATTCTTTTTCCATTGTAGTTTTGGATTCACACACCACATCGTTTGGTATTGGTAACTCTTAAACACAGACTGTTCTTAGCTGTGTATACCTCCATGAGTGTGTCAATGTGCAGTGATGAGCAAGAAAGAATTAGACACTGATAATCTTCCTGCAGTTCCTGCTCCCTATAACCTGTGTGTTTGTTTTCTTGAAAGCATATCTATAAATAAAATGTTATTCTGATAACTGATTAGAAACAATATGGTTACTGGCTATTATTATTTCAGGGTGATGCCTTATTTGGCTGTTAAAGTTCAATTATTAGGAAGAAGTTATTTGCATTACCTAGGCTGTTTGATTAGGTTGATGCAATTATGTCTTGTTCAGGCTCAATTACAGTCGTCTGTAATGTTACATCCTGTAATGGAAACCAAAATGAAAAAAAAAAAAGAAAAAGAGAATTTAATTAACAACTTTCTTGAATTTTGAAGAACGTGGTGGTACAATTTCAGCATTTGTTACCAGATGATTTTGCCATATGCAAGCTTTTGTGTTTATGTTGAGTGGAGCCCAATATTTTCCCTTAGCTTGTTAACCAACCAAGGAAAATTTCAGAGTGAAGGACATCGACAAATATTGACGAGAGAGCTTGAAGCTGTGGGCTTGCGACTAAACAAAAGACCACCTCAGGTAATGTATTCTTTCATAGACCATTGTCTGTATGTGTATTTGTATTTTCTTGCATTTTTTTCCTGAATCTTGTTTGCTTAGTATCACCAAGATATATAAATATAAACTTCTATAGTAGGAAGTTTTGTTATGACTACACAATTTGAGAAGTAGACATTATTTTGAGAAAACTCAAAATTGAAGAGATGGCATTCAGTTTGAAAAGTAGGGCATGTTGTATTTGTTCTCTTTTTCTGGAACTAAACTTTTATTCCTGAGTCTTGCACATCATAATTTGTGATGTTGAATCTGACAGATATACTTTAGGAAGAAAAAAACTGGGGGAATTTCTTTCAACAGCACCTTACCATTAACTCACGTGGATGAGAAGCTTTGCTATCAGATATTACATGAATACAAGATTCACAATGCAGAGGTACTCTTTTTCTTTCCACAAAATTTTGCCATTCATTAAAGTGTAATGATGTCCAGTTTCCATCCTGAAGTGTCTGCTTCTGAGATATGATCTTCAAATTCATCATAGCAAAAAAGAAAGAAATAGAACACTCTTTCACAGAGGATGAAGAATTGAGGGAATGTTTGCTTTTGCATGTTACACGCATTTACAATGACAAATTTGGCATCAACTTCAATGTTTCTGTATGCTGTATACCATATCTAACACTACAACTTATTATTGAAGTTCTATAGTTATTTTGAGAACTTAGAAACATTTGCAGTGGAGTCGAGGTATACCAGTTTTGCAGGTAACACGTAGCATTTCATGTTCCACTTTTGCTAAATTTGCAGTATGAAGTGAGATTCTATAGTGAATTTCAAAACTTATGGCCCCTGTGTAACAACTCGGGTTACTATACTCAAACTGTTAGTTTATCTGCTATCCGCTTTGGGTGGACTTGTGATCACTTATCCCCTTACGGCTTTCTATCGTGTTCCACAAGATTCGAACTCAAGATCTCTACCTAATGAAATACATAATTTGAATCCTGGTATCAATTAGGTAAGTGGTCATAGACCCACCCAAAGCGGACAATATGTAAACTAACGGCTGAGTCTCTGTATCCAAGCCGTCAGCTTAACACAATTGGTACCAAGATTCAACTCAAGTATCTCATTAGGAAAAAGTATTGAATTCGAATCCCGTGGGACGTAATAGAAAGCCATGAGGGGGTGTATAGGCCAACCTAAAGCGGACAATACATAAGTTAACGTTTCGAGTATAGAGACCCTGGTCGTTACACCTTGTGTGGTTAGAACTAGGTCCCATGATTTACTGGCCACCCTGCTCCCCTGACAAGTGGTTGATGGTTCACTTTTGGGGATCTTGGAGCAGTATTTCTGCTCTAAGGCACTCCATTATTTCTAAATGTCCTCCAATTAACCTTGACTTTAGTTTTATATTATATATTTTCGAAATTTTTTATTATGAGAAACGAGCTTTATAAAATGATAAACGACAAAATTTTAAAACCATTTTAATCTCTTAAAATATAATTCCGATAAAACTGGACGGAAAATGATAATAACTATATATTCTGCTAAACATCTTGATGTCTTTTCTGGTCATTTGACATTTTTACTCTACTTATAGGTAACTAGTTTGTAAACTATGAAACTATTTATATGTAGTTTACCCAACTGCTCAAAAACGTAATACTACTTGTATGTAAAATAATTAAAGTTACTTATAATTAACTTGCTTAGGCTCAGATGGACAAGAAACTGCTAGGAGTCTCTATAATATTTTAGTTCTTGAAATGCTGTTATTCTGCTAGTAGCTTCTTTCTATGATGATTAGTTATTGCGTATGAGGACTTAATATTGCCTCCAGCCAAGATTTCTCTTAACAAATAAATTGTCAGGTTTTATTTCGTGAAGATGCCACAGTGGATGATCTTATTGATGTAATCGAGGGAAATCGTAAATATATGAAGTGTATCTATGTCTACAACAAAATAGATGTCGTGGGTATTGATGATGTGGACAGATTAGCAAGACAACCGAATTCCATTGTTATTAGCTGCAACTTAAGGGTACGTATGACATTCTTAAAAAATCTTCCATGTTTTAAAGTTCCTGAGTTATAAAGTAACTTACTATCCATTGCTTATTATTGAAAAGTTATTTCCATATTTTTCTAGTCCTCGCTCAAACAATAATTAGGAGATTAATATAACTTAGTTGCAGTTGTAGATACATATTTTCCGGGTAAGTTAATGTTGTGTTATCATGTTGCTTGAATAGCTGAATCTGGACCGGCTGCTAGCGAAAATGTGGGAGGAGATGGGCCTTGTCAGAATTTATACCAAACCTCAGGGCCAGCAACCAGACTTCAGTGACCCTGTGGTCCTCTCTGCAGTATGTCTCTGAGTGATAATAATTGAGCATGCATGTGTGAAGGCAAAATTTTTTTGGTGCTGTTTTTATAGTAAATTATGTTCCTTCTCCTCCTTCCCCATTGGCATATATTAATGATATAGTTTGGTTCTTGATGTTAGGGTGGCATAATTCTGCTGCCTTTCTCTATTTCAAGTAATATATTTTTCTTATGTAATTTGGATTTTATTTTAGGGTAGAGGTGGCTGCACAGTTGAAGATTTTTGTAACCACATTCATCGGAGCCTGGTAAAGGATGTGAAGTACGTATTGGTTTGGGGCACAAGTGCAAGGCATTACCCACAACACTGTGGCCTTAGTCATGGTCTGCAGGATGAGGATGTAGTACAGATTGTTAAGAAAAAGGTACCGAACTCTCTTGAGGACACTTTTTCGTCTCATAGTAAGCACATTGTTTTAGATAAAACAAAGGTAAAAAATAAGCCTTTTTAGTCCATCTGGCTGTGAGTCCTTCCTGTGTTTCCAGTGTTGTTGAGAAATGATCCCTTATGTCAATTGAGACGAGTTGAAAATAGAAATTGCTTCATACATTGGAAGCACAATAGTCTTGTTATATAAGATTATATAAGCAAGTCCTAGTTATTAAACCCAGCTTGATTGTTGACCCGCCCAATGTACTATGTCACTAGTCAGAAGAGGGGGGTGGGTGGGTTGCTGTTAGAGCATTATAAAAAAATTTCAAATTCTACTGTTTGATTGATCCCTTTGAATTATTTAGCTTTATGTTTTTCTTAAAATTTTCTTTCAGACGATGGAAGTTTTAAATGGTTTATCTTGAACTTATTTTTCTCATTTTGTTTTCGTCAAGTTTTCTGTTTTTTTTCTTTTGTTATAGACACATTATTGTTACTATAAACTATTTTTCTTACTGTAATGAGTCATTTTAATGGCAGATGGAAATATATTTTGGCTTTTGAATCACAGCTGATTTTTCTGATTGTTGTTCTCTGATTTCATAATGAACCTTCTATAAAGCTTATATTATTCTCTGTTTTCTCTGTATGGACTTTTTTCCTTGGAGAAATTAGGTCTAAGTTAGTTAAAATTTCATCTATCTACACATAACAATAAATTCTTAAGATAATTATGTTGATAAATGGAAATTTTAGCAAACATTCTCTTCAAGAACCTGTATTTGGTTATTAAATTAATACACTATGAGGCAAATATTTTGCGCCCTTAATTTTATGTATGTTGAAAAAGATTTGAAATTAGTGAGAAGATGGTAATGGATTTTTTCTGTCATTGTAATTTTTATATACTATTTGTGATCAGAGCGGCAGTGGGAATGTTGTGTGAGGATTGCTGGAGTAATTCAGGAGCCATTCAGTTTAACAAACTGGGTCACTGGCTTTCTTAAAATCCAGCAGTGCTAGCTGGTTTTTGACCAGTTCACTCGTAATCTAGTCAAGTTGACTCTCCCAAAATGGTTTGCACTGACAGGTCACCGGTTTTTCTGTCCCAACTGCTTGGGCTGGTCCTAGTTTTATAACTTGCACAAGCTATTTACAAAATTGGAGTGGCTCGATACAATGATGAGGGAAATGCAAGCATTTAAACCTAGAAACATGTGCATATATCGCTTCCAAAATTCTTAGAATTATAAAACATTGGTTTTTCCATTGTACTTCATAATGTTGTTATCTAGAGTTGGGGTTTATGGTGACACTTCACTATGAAGTCTGCTGTCGTTGGCAACCTTTATGTGAGGACTAAATTTAAATAGAAGACCTAATGATTTCCCTTCTAACAACTTTTCAAATAAAACCTCATTTCAATCGATTGTAGTTGGATGAGGATTGAGATATATTCGGGATGGTTGCATTCTCAAGATTTTCGAACAAACGTTGTGATTTTATGTCTCTCATTACATATATTTATTATTTTGTCCAGTATGGATGTTATGTATGGTTTTAGACTGCGCCCTGTAAGATTTTAGTTGGGATTGTGCCGGGTATGAAGGAGGTGAGCTTATATGGGGAGCTAGTCGAGCTGGAGCCACTCAAATAGCACGTGAAATGTGCTCAAACTCAAGAATGCTGGGTTTGCATGCTTGTGAGCCTAATTCAATGTATATTAATTTTGAATATGTTATTTATTTACTTTTGTGATCAGTATTTCGGCAAAATGTGTGGAGGGTAATACTATTTAACATCACTGGTGTTAAACCACCAGTTTAGGTGGCACTAATGTGCATCAAATGAGAAGTACAATTGAGTGAGTCACTTAATTCCACCCTTCATTGAGCCTATCATATAGCACCGCCTAGATTGGTGTTATAGCACCAGTGATGTTAAATAGCATTATCATGAGTGCATGTGCTTTTTAATATTCGACTGTGCAATTTATCTATCTGATATACATGAGATATACTGTTGTTAATATTTGGCAATGCAATTTATCTATTCGATATACATGAGATATACTGTTGTTAACTTGCTTTCTGCAGGAGAGGGAGGATGGAGGTAGAGGACGGTTTAAATCACATTCAAATGCTCCTGCTCGAATATCTGACAGAGAGAAGAAGGCTCCTTTGAAAACATAATGTTGAGTGGCTTGCTACTTCGTGGAATTATTGTGTGATGCATTCTACAAAAAATTATATTCAACTTCTGGGATGAATTACATTGTGAGGGAAAAGCTAAAGATTTTGACAGTCTTCCTCTGAAGTGCACTCGCTGAATGGATGTTTCTCCTCAAATTTGAGTTGTTATTTATAATTTATACTCCAGTGTTGATTTAGGCAAGCTTTGGAAAGAGCAAGTTTGATTTCTTTAGTTTGTAAGACAAATTTCAACAAGATTATGCAAGGTTTAATATGATTTATATTCATAAAACTGGTTAAAAACTAGAATTATGTTTTGAGTTAATTACTAGCTGCAGCTTCAATTTCACCTGTAATTTTGTTGCCTTCACCCATTCTTTATATAACTTCTATATTTTCTTGATCTACTGTGAGACAAAATGGCTAAGAGCATAGCAATTTCAACAGAAAAAAACATGTTCCGTGCCATTTTTGTTTATACGTGTAGTGAACAATCTGAATGTTTATATCGTTACAAGATGATATTTTAGGTTTCCAGAATGATGGATGTGCTGTGGGCGAATTTTTTTGACGTTATAGGATCTGGAAATCATTTTGTAGCATTCTTTGAACCTCTTTAGCTGTGCTTATAGAAACAACAACTGTTATTCTTGCTTAGTTTTCTGCATAGTAAATTGCTCAAAATATGACGTTTATTATGTCAATTTGAAAGCAGATGTTGCTTGAACTGTACAAGAAATTTTGAGCTGGTAGAAGGCTTTTCTTTATGTCCACCACAGGTTCTAGGTATTGTTTGAAATTTAGAGGAATTTCTTTATCATGCATGGTTACCACAAATTAACTTAACTCGTTAACGCCTGTTGCTCATAAATATTTGTTATCCAGCTGCTTTCGGCACATACAACTGAAGCATCGTGGGATGTGAAGCAAAGAGAGGTAGTTGATGCAATTACTTTCTTCATAACTTTTGACAAAGTGGTGGCAATACTTTACATCAGATCGTATAAGAACTTGTGGTCGTGTTAAAGTCGATATTGAAGCATTTTTGTTGGATGGATGTATAATGCAGGAGCATGCTTGATTGACCCACATGGAGTGGCGTTGAGGTAGATTCTCGAACTTAATTTTGGGTGATATGTGGGTTCGTACCTTCACCATGAGTAGTAATTTTTGGACAACTGGCAATTCGGCAATACCCTTTTTAAATAGTACTAAAAAAATATAGTTGCTTTAGGTCTTCATGTAGATCCGACAATAAGAATAAATCGAAAATAGTAACAGAAAATTATTTGTCTAGAGAAAAATGGTGGTAGTGGTAATGCGTGCGAATTCAGACTAATAAAAAGTGCACAACTTCAAATGTAAGTTTTTTTTTTTTTTTTTCAATTATGCCAGGCTTGGAAACCGTAAGTCAAACCCTCTTTTCCCCTCCGGAAGCATGAAAGCAAGCAACTAGCTGAAAAATGCCCTTTTTCTTTTTAATACTAATACATAAGGTACGTTTCATAACTTAAACCCAGTCTCTGTTTGTTTCTCATTTTTCATCCATAAAAATGAAAAATATGACCGTTATCCATCACATCAATCTATCAATTTTGAATTTCTATATCTTTCATTCTCATTCTATAATAATGAGAATCAAACAGTAAAGAATCAAGGCAATCCGACTAAAGGAAGGGCTTCATACCCTGTCCAATTGGACTTGTCATGGCCCAATCCAATATGGATCCAACTTGTGCTGTACTAGGCAATGAATAGTGAATTTGGCTCGATACTTTGAAAGTGTGTTATGTCAGGTCGAATCACATTCGACATATGATCATCACAAGTCGAAGAAAGGTTAATTAATACGGATGTGTGCCTATTGCTATCAGATATTTCAGTCATCGAGTTATTTGGAAATAAACATTATCGTTTGCGATATTAGTTCTTTGCAGCTTAAGTTCAAATAAAAAAACTTACACACACTTTTGTTAAGCAAAAATGTAAAATTAAAATGAATATAATTTCTGAGTTCCACGTGATTAAAGATATTATTCCCGTTAGCACACGATCTCTACTTTCCAACAAAAAGAAAAAAAAAAAAAAGGCTGCTGATGTTAACACCGTTTGCATTACAATCTTCTTGGGATCACCAAATATTCTCTCTACTTTACTCTTTCTTCTCCTTTACTTGCTTTATCTACTTTTAATTAAAGCACCCTACTCTCTTGTGTCTCACTCGTTTTCTAAATTTACGACTTGGTCCAACTAGAATCCCAATTAAGATCAAGTCTACGTTTGGTTTTAAAACTTATTATTTTTCAAATTTATTATCAACTACATTTTCTCTCAATAAATAATTTTGCGTCTGAACTCATAAATTTTTCATATTTTTAACTCACACATTCTCAAAAAAATCATTTTTCACGAAATTTATTTTCAAAAAATCTACATCAAATTTATAAGTCCCGATTTGATGGCCATTATTTGACTAAAATAATATTTAAAATAGTGATTTTTAGGAGAATCTGTGGTTAAAAAGTATAAAAGAATTTGAATTTACGTGTAAAATATTTTATTATATGAATGTGTGGTTGAAAATGAATATATTTAAAAAAGAATTTTCAAATAATAATTGTGAAATAGTGACTTAACATTGTTCGATGTTACGTATTAAATCAACCTGACCTGCTAGACATTACTTCTTTAAATCGCAATACAATGATGATGAAGAATTATTGACACTACCACACGTGTGAATACTACAGGTGTCATGTCCATGGTGGGCAATGGGTTGCCAAGCAATTTGGGGGCAGGCTTAATCAAATGGGCCTGGGGCCCACTGAAATTATACGATCGGTGACATACTATGAATTTCTTTAGATTTGTTGAGGAGCACCCACGTGTACATGTACCACAGGGCTTGGGCATATGGGCCAGCCCATCACGTGAATTGGGCTTCAATTAGTGTTTTAGTTGAAAGTGCTAGATCAGATTGGGACCAAGTTATAAGTCAGCCACATCTTATAGAGAAATTAATTTCTTCATTTCCCCTTCCAATTTTTTTTCTTCAAAATGTTAGCATATTTTGACTCTATAAGTCTATGTATTTAATACATTTGGAGCGTGTTCAGTATGCATTATTATATATTATTGAACTGTATAATAGATTAAATTTTAGTTTCTATTTTTTTAATGTTATCCAGTATTGTCGAATTTACCTTACCTACACGTTTTAAGAACGTGTTAGGAATTGTGTTGTATTGGAAATTCTTTAGATAAAATGATTATTATAAAAGAGTTGTAAAATTCAAGAAGTCTTTTGATGAGTTGTATAGATGAATTGAGAGTCTTTGAGTTCGAGTATAGAATATGAAGAAAGAGTTGTTGGATGTACGCTAGCCAGTTGTCTAGCTGATACTCGAGTGAAAAAAGTAGAATCATTGTCGCCTGACTCTTGCTCGAGTGATACATCTGTCGCTCGCTTGCGCTCGAGTGAAGACGTTTTTCGAGAAACCCTAATTCGCGATTTTCAATAATTTTTTCTATCATATATTACCCAAATACATCATATTATAAATACTCAATGCTCATTACTTTTTTTTGTGGTGGTTGATCATTGTATTATATCCACATAATATCATTCCAAGATCTAATGATATCCAAATTTTGAGATTAAACTTTCAATTCTTGAGATCAATCAACCACAAGTTGGAAAAAAAACATTAAATTCAAATAATTTTAAACACTCACTTCCTAGTAATCAAGAAGGTACTTTCTTAATAGTTTTCAAAGGTTGGACCAAGAGCACATAAAGAGTACAAGAATAAGGAGTTCTAGGTAATCCACATGAGATAGACAATTTTCGAAGATCGAGAGCATGTGTAAGTAAAGTACGTCCCAGTGGGTTTTGGAGATTGCAAGAATTAGATCAGTTAGTCTAATGAGTTGTTTAGGTTGGATTATACTGTAAGTTCTTATTGTCTATAGTAGAAGTTATTGGCTTGGTCCCAAAATTTTTACGGAGTTAAGGGTTTTCTCAGTTATCAATTCTTTGTATTGTTTAGATTATTGATTTCATACAAGCCGGCAATTCAACATAGTGTAGTTAATTCACGTAAACTGAATATAGAGTAATTAATTATTGTGATTTGTTGCAATATTAATTGACTATAATTTTTAATTCGACATTATTCACCCATTCACTCTCTTCTAGGTGATTTTAGGGTGTAACTTTCACAATGGAAACAAGAAACAAGTCAAATAGTGTTGCGCGTACCCTAAACTCCATTAATGAAAAAGAGGGTTCTTAGTGATGGAGATAATCGAGTGTATATATAATGATCAATTGATTTGGGATAGGAAAGAGGGTTCATAGTGTGCCAAGTTAATTGTGCAATTGTTAATAACGAGCCCCAACTCCATTAACGAAAAAGAGGGTTCTTAGGGATGGAGATAATCGAGTGCATATAATGCTAATTCATCTCAAGTAGAAAAGAGGATTCACAGTGCACCAAGCGAAACGAAAAATGGATGTAACAATTCACTCCAAACGAAAAAAGGGGATATTAGTGCACACAGATATAGTGGGATCTATAATTAGAGATAATGCAATGAATTATTAAACCAAGTGGCATGAAAAAAAGGCAAGAACTGCAACCAGTAACATTAAACCAATGTCCATTTCAAACATGCTCGTGTTTTCCAATAATAATAAAAAAACAAATGCTGCCCAAAAATGACAAATATGATGATAGAGAAAAAAAAGAAGAGGATTAATTAGCCAACAATTAGATATCAAATGGACACTACAGACAGATACAAGACTGATGCAGCCTTGAATGTTTAGAGACAAAATAGTGTATATAATAGATTATTGTCTGGTATTTGACAAATGTTGTACCCTTGTACAGGGACAAAATCAGAAGCAGATGTAACATAAAAAATAAATAAAAATAAAACCCAACTTTTTTTTTCTTGTAACTACTAAGATCAAGAAACTAATTCAATCTCGTTTA